CAGCCTTGACCTTCTGGGCTCAGGTGATCCTTCTGTCTCAGCCTCCCAAGTAGCTGGGACTATAGGGGCATGCTACCACACCTGGCTAATTTAAGTAGGTGTGTGTGTCAAGAGTCTCACCCTGTCACCCAGGCTGGACTACAGTGGCATGCTTATAGCCACTGAGCCTCAACCTGCTGGGCTCAGGTGATTCTTTCACCTTAACCATTCTACATTTTTTATTTTTGTAGAAACGAGGTCTTGCTATGTGGCCTAGGCTGGTCTCGAACTCCTGGGCTCCAGCAATCCTCTTGCCTCGGCCTCCCAAAGTGCTGGGATTATAGACATGAACTACCACATACAGCCTATAGTGTACTATAGCTTTGCAAGATGTTACCATTGGGGGAAGCTTGGTAAAGAGTACAAATAATCCTTTGTATTATTTCTTATACCTACATGTGAATCTACAATGATCTCACAATAAGAATTTCAATTGAAAAGGCATTTGTCTATAGCTGGTGGATCATTTAGCACTTCTCCAGTCTCTATTTGCAGAAAGAAGCATCCAGAACAGTGAGAATCAAGATTTATTGATGTAGAGTGAATATGAATATTCTTCAAGCTTTGTTCTCTTCTATCACTCTGTTAGGTATCTAGACTACTCTAGTCTTATTTAATATTATTATTATTATTTATTAATGCTTCTACAGGGCTAATTTACTCAGATTCCAGGTTGCCCCAGCAACCTAAAACTAATGTCCCCATTTGGTGCTGAGACAGACCAGAAAAATGATTTCCTAGGGAGCTCCTGGAATCATGCCCCACAAATCTTTTTTCTTCTTACAGGAGCTGAGACCTGCATGATGTGGGGTCTGGAATCACTCTGGTTTTTCCTGATCATTAAATTCCTCTCCATCTAGTATCTGTCTTAGATACTTTAGACATCACCAGCTCTCGAAAGCAATAAAAGACTCAAATTCAACGTCTTAGCTAGAACTGACTCCCTCCCTTTAAGGTCATCTTGGACAGAGCCAAGGTTTCCTTCAGGCCCTCAAAGGGGTTGCTGTGGTTTCAAGGGCAGGGAGATGATGTGGTTTTCCACCAACAAAGGGTTAGGATGAGGCGGCAGTGCTTCTGGCTTTGGATGCTTCCTGTGTAAGCATCACCTCCCCCAACTCAGGGATAAAACTAGGTACTGAAATAGGCAGCCGAAGGTGAGGGCCTTGGGATCTTCCTCAGCATATTCCATGGCTCCTTTATGGTGGCATTAGGTGGGGGGAATGATGTCATGGACATTTTACTTCTAATTTCATCATTTAAAGAACTAGGAGAAGGAAATCAATGTGTTTGAAAACCTACTGTGTGCTGGGCACTGTGCTGGGTGCTTTGCAGTACTTTAATTTTTTTTTTTTTTTTTTTAGTCAAGGTCTCACTCTGTCCCTGAGGCAGTAACACAATCCCAGTTCACTGCAGCTTCGACCTCCTGGACTCAAGTGATCCTCCTATCTCAGCCTCACAAGTAGTTGAGACTATAGGTGTGCACCACCATGCCCAGCTAGTTTTTGTCCTTTTCTTTTTGTAGAGACAGAGGCTTTGCTGTGTTGCCCAGGCTGGTCTCGAACTCCTAGCCTCAATTGATCCTCCCACCTAGTCCTCCTAAAGTGCGGGGATTACAGATGTGAGCTACCATGCCCATCATCATGCCTTAATTCACTGAATCTAAATTCCTGAATCTTTGAAGCCACTCCCTGAAGTAAGTACCTACATGATCCCCCTATATAGACAAAGAAAGTAGGGCTCAGAGAGGGGAAGTGACTTGCGCAATGTCACATAGCAAGAGGTGGAGTGTGAATGTAAACCCAGGTCTGTCAGAATCCAGAGTCCATGGCTTTTCTGTTCCATCATGCTGTCACCAAGGTAGTTTAGTGTAATGACTAACTGGTTAAGAGTGCAGGCTCTGCTATAACATGGATGTGGGTTCTATCTGGTTCAAGCCATGTGACTTGGGCAAGAGTTTAACTACCCTGAGTCTCAGTTTCTTCACTTTTATAGGCGGAGTTTAAGGATTCTTTTATGGCCATAGGATTGTGGAGAGATTTTAGAAGATGTCTGTAAAACACTTAGATGGTGTCTTGCATATGTAAGTGATGGATAAGTGTTAGGTATAATCTTGTTTCCAAAGAATAAGCCAGCTTACTCAGTAGCTCCCAGTTCTAACTCAAAACACTGTATCAACCTTCATTTTCCCCAAACCACTGCTACCAATGCCCTTATTTAATAGTTATAAGAATCATAATAATGGTGATTTTTTTCTTGATAGAGATAGCATCTCATTCTGTAACCCAGGCTGGAGTGCAGTGGCATGATCATAGCTCACTGCAGCATAGAACTCCTGGGATCAAGCAGGCCTTCATTTCAGCCTCCTGAGTCATTGGGACCACAGGTATGTGCCACCACACCCAACAAATTTTTGCATTTTTTGGTAGCCAGGAGGGTCTCATTATGCTACCCAGGCTGGTCTCGAATTCCTGGACTCAAGCGATACTCTGGTTTCAGGCTCCTAAAGTGTTGAGATTACAGGCATGAGCCACCATGCCCAGCGTGGATTATATTTGAGCGTCACCATATGGCAGGCACTGTGTTAGATGCTCTACCACGTTTATCTCATTTAAATTGAGTGGCAACCCTTACTACAAAAAGACTGCTGAGTCTCTCCTGTTACAAGCGGCTTCCATACTAAGTTCCAGCAGCAGCACCAACAGGTACCATCTGTTGAGGGTTTTCACAAGCAAGCACCCTTCTAAGTGCATTACTAACATGGTCTTATGGAACCCTGTGAGGGAAGGGCTACTATTATCCCCACTTTACAGATAGAGAACCAGAACCTGAGAGAGAATAAGTAATTTGTTGTGATAGCTGTTTTGGCTCAGGTTAATTTGTGATTTATGTAACACATTTCTGAGACTTATACATATAATGAAAAAAATTCCCTTGTGACCTGCAGAGATGTTTTGCTTTGGGAAGTAAACAGCCCAACCCCTCAGGAGGCCTGCTTTGTCAATTCAGTTCCCGGGACCTTCTTTCCTCAAATCTTGGTTTTTCAGAAGGGGATTCTGGCTATCAACAGGACTTCTTCACGCCAAAAATTAGGAAACTCAGGCCCAGAGAGGTGAGACAGCTGACCCAGTTCACACAGTCCGACAGCAGTGAAGCTGGGCCTCAGGTGCAGTGCTGACTTTCAGGCCTGGCCGTCCAGTAATTAAGGGACTTTGGCCAGGGAGAGGAAGGGAGGGACCTCGGAGTTTCCATTTCCTCACCTGAGAAATGGCATCAATCACGGGGCCTCTTTGTGTAGTTGTGGGAGTCACGCGGGTGTGGCCCAGCCCAGGACAGTCACACAGTACCAGGGATGGGACCATGGACAGTACAGGGGGACTAGAACCTCGGGAGTCCCCAGTGGTGGGAGAGTGTGCTGGGGGGAGGGGCGGAACCTCGGAAGCCAGAGGCGGGGATTCCCTGATTCGGGCGGGGCTTGGGGTTTAAACGTCAAGGTGGGCGGTGGGCGGGGGTGAGATTTTGGGTTCCTGGGCAGGGCTTCTGGAAATCGGGGCGCGGTTTTGTGGCGCAGATGGGTGGGATCTGAAGCAGTGGGAGGGGAGATGGGAGTGGGGAACCAGCGCCTAAGGGCTTAAGGGCCTGGGTGGGCAGTGGGCGGGGCTCAGAGGAGCTGATGTTCCAGCTTTAAGGGACTCTGGGGTACTCTTGAGGAATAACGGGACGTGGATTTGCAGAGCAGAGCGGGTTAGTGGGCGGAGTACCAGGAACCCCGCTCCGGGTTCTAAGGAGCCGTGGGCGTGGCTCGGGACGCCTGTGGCGTGGCCCTCCAGCCACCCAGATGACGGGAGAACCCAGCGAGCGCTTGGACACCGCCTTCCTCCGCGGCCTAGCACGACGTGACCAGAGGGGGCGCCAGGGAGACTGAGGCGTGGAACGTAGGCAGGGAAGCGGGCTTCCCCTCCCGGAAGTGGGCGTGGCCAGGCGCGGCCAGGCGGCTTTGATTGGGAGCTGCGCGGCGCGGGGGCGGGTCCTGCGCGCGGCAGCGGAGGCGGTGGCGGTGGCCCGCGCCC